ATATATATCTTCATTGTTTCATTGTCTTACAATGTTTTTTATATTATGATCAAAGAGGATTATTTTTATTATTTGTGTTAACAGTTAAATGTAACTCATAAATAACATACCTCCGTCAGAATTGCCTTCTATGACTGCAATCTTGAATAGATAAAATTGAGTGAAAATATTTCCAGGATCAAGATGTTCAGCTTCTGCCACTGCTTCTTTAGCCTGAAAAAAAATTGGATCTCTTTTATAAAAGCTTTAAGGAAGACCTTACTGTATTGTGCTAATATTATTTACATAGTCAAAATGGCTAAGTTGTACTCAAAGAAAATACATGAAACTAAGAAAAGTCTTTAAATAACTGTTTTCTGTGTTGTTGTTGTTTTAAATCTTCACCTGAGGATATTTTTCCCATTGACTTGTAGAGAGAGTGGAAGGGAGGGGGAGAGACAAAGAGAGAGAAACATCGATGTTGGTCTTGGGGATCAAGCCTGAAACCCAGGTACATGCCCTAGACCAGAACTGAACCAGCCACCCTTCAGTCTACAGGCTGACGCTCTATCCACTGAGCCAAAGCGGCTAGGGCAAGAACTGTTTTTTATTTTTTTAAATGCTAAAGACACAGTGAGTTCTGCTTCTGAACATAATGTGAAATATATATGTGGTAACATTTTTTTTTAATTCCAACAGTGACTGACAATATATGCAAAGTAATTACCAAGCAAAATGTAAGATAAAGTGAAATTCCATAGAAATAAGCAGAAAATTAAAGCCAGGTTTTTTTCTGGTGGACATTAGTAAATCCAGGAAAATGTTAACTTTACTTTTAATGGATCAAACTAGGTCAGGGAAACAGACATCAAGGCCCAAGAAGTTAAACTCTTAAAGTTAAGGGCAAACCAGAAGTAAACATACTCCACCAATATCCCCAGGGGACAGCAAAAAAAGTAACCTTGGCTGTGTGAAGAATGCAACGAAATAAATGTGAAACATCACAGTAACAAAATGAAGGATAAAAATCACATGATCATATCACTAGATTCACAAAAAGCATTTAACAAAATCCAGCACCTCTTTTTTAATAAAAACTGTCAGCAAAGTGGAATAGAGGGATCATACATCAAAATAAAAAAGGCCAGCCCTAACCAGTTTGGCTCGGTGGATAGAGCGTTGGCCTGCAGACTGAAGGGTTTGATTTCGGTCAAGGGCATGTACCTTGGTTGCAGGCACATCCCCAGGACGGGGTGTGCAGGAGGCAGCTGATCAATGTTTCTCTCTCATTGATATATCTAACTCTCTATCCCTCTCCCTTCCTCTCTGTAAAAAATCAATAAAATATA